TGAACTGGCTAGTGAACAGGTAACAGAAGGAGCAGATCTTGTGCTCTTCAGCTCCTGTAATGTAGTGAAAGGAGGAGGCATACAGGGAGCCGGACCTGTGCCCTTCCCCCCCACCCCCCATGTCCCTTCCAGGCAGATGCAGCTCCTTGCCTCTCCCCATATCTAATGTTAATTCTTAAAATAGGTTACTTTGGTCAACAGTAAAGTCTAATGAACATATCAACCTCCTCTCTAAAAGAACAAAAGCCTTAAGGCCTGGGGTGACTACTTGCAAAATGTGCCTCAGTGGTTCGTGCCAGACACCTCAAGGTGGTTGACTTTTCCTGGTCTCCTCTGGGGACTGGCTGGTCCTGTCTGGTTCTCTGGCCATGAGCTTGACATTCTCCACCTCCTTCAACCAGCTTTCCGTGGACAGCCCTGATGGCTTCTGGAGTAGGGCTGCCTTATAAGTGCTTGCTGCTCTCTGGTCAGCCAGAACTGGACAGAGCAGCCTGAAGTCCAGAGTGACAATGAGAGGTATGTTGCATGGCAGCAGCTTTGATTTTGGCTCTGTGTGTCTAACTCTCCTACTGGGTTCCTTGGGAAAAGATGTCATCCTGTGTACAGCTTTGTGTCTCCAGAGACCTTAGTAACTATGGGCTAAGTGAATGATTGAGTCATCTCAGAGCAACTTGCAAGGGAGCCATGGTTGGAGGTCGGGATTGGGGGCGATTGTGGAGCAGTATTAACTCTTCTCAAACACAACACATGAACTGAAAGACAGAGCCCACTAGGCTCCTGGTGGTGCAGGCTAGGGGATCTCTCTCTCCCTTTATAGTCCTTGGAAGTAAAGAGGGGACCTGAGGCTAAAGATACCTGGACTTTGGGTTAAGAATCCATGTCCAATCTCCAGAGCAGGCATGGGGCTGACACAGAAACTGCTACAGTGAGAGTGTCTGTGGAGCACATCCCGAAAGAGGAACCCGTGACTCATTTGCTCTCACATTTCTCAGGGGGAAGTCAGATCCATCACAAAACACAAAATACCACTTCCTGAAATCATCAGGGGTTAGGGTTGTTTTTCTTCCTCCATGTGAAACAGTTCCCAAATATAGGTGTGTAAGTATTTCTCAGTTACTCAATTTGAATCAGCCCTTGAGGTCACACTTGACTTCCAACATGAGCTATACTCTCTTCTTTAAAATGGGGCCACGAATACCACCTGTCAAGGAATTTGAGAGGATCAAGTGAGAGGATTTATGTCCATTATTTTCTGGGAGCACCTGCTCTTCCAACGTGAGGCCTCATCCTAACACTTAAGCCCCATCCTGGCCAAGTCATCTCCCCTCAATGCATCTGTGTTCTCTTTTAGGAAATGCAGGAATTGGACTGGCTAATCTCCATGGCATCTTTCAGATCTGAGAGGACGTAAAAGATTGAACAGAAAGACAGTTATTTTGAGCCAAGTCTTAAGAAGTTCTCATGTCTCTGAGAAAGAAACATGGGTCAGTGGGCAAGTTGGTTAGGGTGAAGGGATGTCCCAGCATCTAACCCCAATGGGGACTCTGTTCCTTACAAGGGTTGGAGCCTCCCTGGAAATAATGGTGTCTAGATGGTGGCATCTAACCTGCAGAGCTGAGAGAAGAGTAGATGGCACAGGTATGTGAGACCCACATGACCTTTTGACCAGTACACTGCTCTGGTGCTGAGAGAAAGTCACTCTGGGGAGGCCTTTGGGAGTTATGGAGGAGATTTGGATGTTGGAATCCAGGAGACCTAACTTCAGATCCTTCACCTGGCTAGGGTAGCTCTGGGAACTTGGCCAGTCTGGTCTTCTCTGAGCCTCCACATCCTCATATGGAAAATAGGGACAATACCCACCTCACGGGACAATGTGGTCATGGGGGAAGTCTTGGATACTAAGCTGCTTGCCTCAACATCCCTTAACAACAATTATTTATGTCATTATTAAGTCCTATTTATGGAACAGGCCTGCGTGCCAAGAACTCTTATAGGGAACTTGCTTAAACAACTCTCTGAGTTCATTGTGACCATGACCCTCAGTGGAGCTGAGGGGCTTGGTGCAGCTAAAGGAGGCAGGGTGAGCCAGGACTAAATCCAGGTTTGTCTGTCTAAGATGTACACCCTAGTCACAATACATCACTACGATTCATGAACTGGCTTCAAACATGCACATTTGGGTGTGGAGTGTGCCTGCAATCCCAGCACTCAGGAGGCTAAGGCAGGAGGAGCAAGGGTTCCAGGCCAACCTGGGCTACATAGTGAGACCTTGTCTCAAAAACAAAACAGAACAAAACAAAAAAAGAAAAGAAAAAGCATACTCGATATTTGCAATATGCTCAAATGCAGGGTCATGCCTTCCACTGCCACTATCCTGCATTGCCAATCTGAAGTGCTTTTCTAATTTTCCTCCAGTGTAAGGACAGCTGTCTCTCCTAGGAGCCAGAGCAGGTGGTGCTCAGTTGCCCCTATGCAAAGAAGAGGCCTCCACCCAGCTTTGACATTCATACCTGCTTTGCTGAGCTTTCCTTCTGGCCTGGACCCAACTCCAGGGTGGCTCCAAGGGGATGGAGCCACTCTACTCTACTCCCCAGCATAGTCAACCACCCTGGAACCCTAGCAAAGGAGCATGTTTGTGTGACAGCATGCTACCATATAGAATAGCACATGCTTAGCTCACACTAGGAAAGCTAGCCCAACAGACCTGGCTAATGAGCTTCCAATTCTTTGTTTTGTTTTTGTGGTGCTAGGGACCAAACTCAGGGCTTCAAGCATATTAGACAAGTACTCTACCACTAAGTTTCACCACTTGCCCCTGGGCCTCTAATTCTTAAAAGCAGCTGGGTCTCTTTTTGGGTAGAGTAGAAAAATCTTCCAAATTGTTGACCTCTCCATCTCTGAGAGACACATGGCCCCAAAAACCTCATTTTTATGCCTTTGTTGAAAGCCAGCAATCATTGTCATGTGAGCAGGGCTGCTCTCCCTGTAAGCCCTGAAAAAACATACACAGTGACCTCTGGGGAGCTTGACTCACAGGTCCAGAAGTTAAGAAGAATTGCTTACTATTTGAAGTCCTGAGTTTTATGCTGATTTGTGATCCCGCAATTGCTAACTCTATCCCACTTCTAAACTGAATCTGGTCATAACACAGACTCATCCAGCAAGCCTTCTTGGTTCTGTCTTTGTGGTTTCCTGACTTCAGCCTGGGAATCCAGCATGGAGGCTGGATAAGGCTGGACAAGAAACAAGCTGGGTTTCTTGAGCCTTATCAGGACACATTATATCTATCACTATGAAGTCTTGCAAAATACATGTGGGGCTTGTGCATGGTCCTAAAATCTAGTTGTGTTCCACCAATGGTGGCTGCCTGGAGGTGCTGCATTGACATTTGTGAAGTGTTTGCCTTCGGAGTCAAAGACCAGGTTGCTGTTCCAAACCCATGGCAACATTGCCAGAACTGCCTGGAAGGTGGAAAATACTCAATCCTCTCCTCTATATGAGTATATATGAGTATATGTTAATAACCAACACTACAAAGTTCAGTATGAAGCAGTATAGAAGATGTCAACAAAGGAGGGACACAGTCCCTGTTTCTAGGACACACACCTGGAGGGTGTGGTATAATGCGGGAGGGGGGGGGCGGTTTATTTGGCCTTCTATCCAGTACCTGGCACAGATCTGAAATCCTTGGAATTTCCTGAGTGGTAGAGGTGAGGGGAGTATCTTTTGTTATTTAAAGGCACCTGAGTCTTTGTTAAGATGGTAACATTGTGGGGAGGGGGGCAGGGCTGTCACCAGAGGAACCAACCAGGTGACTAGAGGGTCTGAAGTTTCACATACATCCTTCTCCAGGGAGTGACAGGGGCTAGTTTAATCATCAGTGACCAATGATGTGATCTGATCAACCTTGCATATGAAATGACGCCTCCATAAAATGCCTCAGGGAGCTTCCAGGATGGTGAGCTATGGAGGTGCTAGGAGGGAGGTGAACCTCAAGCAAACATAGAACTCCCTACCCCTTCCTCCATGTCTTGTCCATGTTTCTCTTACATCTAGTTGTTCCTGAGTTGTGTCCTTTATAATTAAACAGTAAATGTTGAGTTCTCTTGAGGTTTGTTTTAGTGAATTATCAAAACTGAGGAGGGGTGGTGGGAGCTCCTGAATGTGTAGCCAGGAGGACAGAAGAGTGGGTAACATGGACACCCATTGGTAACAGGCATCAGAAGTGGGTGCAGTTTCATGGGACTGAACCCTGAGCCAGTGGGTTCTGTT